AAAAAAATTCGAAATGGGTTTTTTGTAAATTAAATTTGAAAATTTGAAATAGGTTTTTTTAAAATTAAATTTGAAAATTCGAAATGGTATATTTTGAAATTTAGTTTGAAAATTCGAATTGGGTTTTTATAAAAATTAAGTTTGATTATATATAATTATGTTTTTTTTTTGTGTTAATTCTGTGGAAATATAGAAATTAAATGTATTATCCGTTAAATGTATTTATTGTAATATATAATTGATGCAGAAATATGGTGGAGACGGAAATGATTACAGTGGGATATTTGGACATGATGGTCCATTCGAAGAAGCTCAACAGGCGATTGATTGGGCAAAACAGGTTGCAATTGCAGCTGGATTTTGCTTGGTAGTAGCAACTCATAAATCTCAACGGGATGGTAGAATGGATCGCATTTTGAGATGTGACCGTTATCGCAAAAGAGAAGAAAGAGATTTTCGTACAGCCACTCGGTTTGACACAAAGCGGAAAGGTTGTGGGTGTGAGTTCAGAGTAAAGGTTCGACAACTACGGAGTCGTGACGGTTGGGAAGTGATAGGTTACTCTAAATGGGGGTATCACAACCATGAGATGATAGTATATGAAGAGGGTCATCGACAACTGAGCGGCTTAAGTCCTGCTACGAAACTAGTTGTGAAAGAAATGAGTGATGCTCAAGTGAAGCCTGCTAAAATATTAGCATCTGTGTTAGAGAAATTTCCAGAAGACCATCCAAACCGAAGACACATCTACAACGTCAGACAGCAACTCAGGTTTGAACGGTCAGAGGGAAGGAACCCTATACAGCAGCTGCTACACCAGGCACAATCACGTGGTTACCTGTTCTGGTTTGATTCTGATGAAGATACAGCGGAGGTGACTCATCTTTTCCTTGTGCATCCTGATTGTGCTGATATGATCAAGTCTTGGCCATTTGTGATTTTGATCGACTCAACGTACAAGACAAACAAGTACAAGTTCCCTCTGGTTGAGATGGTTGGGATGGCTCCAACGAACCAGAACTTTCTGATTGGTCATGCAATCATCAGGGATGAGACGGCTCCAAGTTATTATTGGGTGTTGGAGAAGCTGAGAAACTACATCGGGCCTAATGTTCATCCAGCAGCCATCGTCAGCGACTGTGAGGGAGGTCTCTTTGCCCCCATAGCAGAGCTGTTTCCCGAATCGAACCACTTATTGTGCACATGGCACATCAACAACTGCGTGAAAGTGAAAGCCTACAACCTTTTCAGGAAGAATTTGGAAATGGCAGAGAGATTGGTGAATGGTAAGTGGCGGAAGATCCTACAGGCTACCACAGAGGAAGCGTATGAGCGAGCATTGGCTAACTTCAGGGATTCGTACCAGTGGTGTCCGGCACTGGTGGACTATGTGATGCATCAATGGGTCCCTCATGGGGAAAAGTTTGTCAAATATTGGACAAACCAGGTACTTCATTTTGGGAACACTACAACATGTAGAGTTGAGAGCGCTCATAGAGCTACCAAGGACTGGATTGATTCATCGACCGCTGCTTTGGATACACTGTTCGCTAGACTGAACAAGTCAATTGAAACTCAGAAGAACGACATCAGGAACTCTCTGGAGGACTCCAGACGACGACATGGTACAATGTATAGCCATTTTATATTTAAGATTCTCCATGGTCGTGTGTCGCACTACTGCTTGGGGTTGATTCTCACTGAGCTGAACAGGGTGAGGGACTTGGCTGACGAAGTGTATGCTCGGTGTGGGTGTACTATTTCAGTAACTCATGGATTACCTTGCGCATGCACCATTCATCGCGTTATTACAGAAGAAAGGGCGTCGTTACATGTTGATCAGGTCCATTCATTCTGGAGGACGCTTGTTATTGGTGAGCATGCAGACAATCAAACGGCCGACCGTGAACAGGAAGAGTTGGAGCAGTTCCGTTCGATGTACGACCGAGTGTCCTCCAGCCATCCTTCTATTATTCGTGACGCTACTCATGTGCTTCATGACATGTTCCACCCGTCTAACTTAGATTATGAGGAACCCGAAGGAGTTGACCGTCCTCGAGGTCGACAGCGGCGGAACAGGAGTGCGTTTGAGTATATCCGTGGTCATGGTCGTGGTCGTTCTCGTGGTCGGACATCGTCATCTAGTCGTAGTCAATCTTCATCGTCTGTGAATATGCCCCTGAGAACTGGTACGTTTTGGTTGTTTTTATTGCACATAGTTTTAAAGTGTTACTCCTGTCTTCTTAACTGTCTATAATTAATTATTTGGTGAATAGGAAGAAACGATGTTGATCAGTTTCCGTACAAGGAAAGGATACCTGCGATCATCATCGCTGTGGGGAGGTGGACCTTGCGGCGAAAATCATTATTTTGACGCGCCCCTAGATCTGTTTGCCGTTGCAAACATTTACAAATGCGCAGTCATGCATTTCGGCCTGGGAGTGCATAGTCAAGCTTATTATCCTTGTACCACGGTTCTCCCTTGGCGGTCGCGTGAGACTGTCACCACACCGGTCAGAGAGCTAGCTATTGCGTTTCTTGGGTCGTCATACAGACATTTCATCCGACTAGACATGTCAACCGATTTTCCGGTGCCACCGATTATACCTCGGTGGTACAACATTCGCACAGCGAGCGTAGAGGGTTGGGATGCGCTATATAATGACCGGATCCACGAATGGAACACCCTAGCTGCATTTTAGTTTTTCTTGTGTACATTCTTTATTTGTAATCTTATTTGTACGTTGCTCTTTTAATGAGAACATTAATATTTTATATTGTATTGCTTACTGCATTCTATATGTTGCATGGGTAAGTTGCGCGGATCCACGAACGGTTATATCAAAATTTAAAAACAGCACTGATAATATGTTTAAGTTGGAAGCTAAAAGAACAATCTAAAATGTTACAATTTCACAACATAATGTCCAAAATAATGTTCTATAAATAAAATACAATAACCATCAGTAATCCCTCCTCGACGACGACTCCCACTGCGCAAGGGTATGTTCCAGACTATCAACCACAGCTCTCCCTGTTGCACTCATGCTGTCCTTCTCAAGAGAGAGTTTCTGAACGTCTTGCATTATCTTTCCCATCCACTGCATACAACAACAAACAGAAGATGAAATACAATAACAACAAATAAAACTTAATTAAAAGACAACGATAAATATAATAAAAGACATACCGCTTCCGTGGCAGTAGGCGGTGGCACATAATCATCATCGCTGTGGTCGAGATCAGCGATCAACCTCGGGTGCGAATACCGGTTGAACCATTCCATGTAGTAATGGTCACACATGGGAGTAACCCCAGAGGGCGGCCGCTGCAACTCCGCTGTCCATAATCGAGCCACCATCGGAAACTGGTCCCACGTCCCGGTCATGATATCCGGCCATTCCACGACGTACTCCCTCGACGATGCAGGTCGGACCGCCTTCATCGGGCACGCCGGGGGAGGAGGGACAACTTGGACAAATCCAAGTTGGCGAAGACATCGCTGGGGCATGTACGCTTCGACGATGTCACGATACTGAATGAGTCCCGTGTACAGGGTCCTGGGTACCCTAACACTAGGGTTCGGGCCGAAAGGCATCCAGTTCACCTGTACAATTACAACATATAAAATATAATAACATGAATATAATATGTGCAAATAATAAAATGTAGACTCTATAAATAAACGTTACCTCTAAGGGGGACAGCCTGTCCAGCAATAACCGTATCGATCGGAGGCGGTCAACGGACTTCTTCTCCGAGCGGGGACTCCACGCACAAGCACGCGGCATCCCCTCATCAATAGGAACTGGGTCACGATGTGGTCGCAATGCAGGAAAATACTCGTATATCCAAGTCTGCAATAGAGTCAGACACCCAGTGATACCTGCCGCGTCAGCCCGACTCGCAAATCCTAGTTGGCGATACAAATACGCCAACGTAGCCGATCCCCAGGAAAACTGGCCTACACTGTCGGGGTCACACGCCTCTACGATGTCGCGTGGCCTGAGCTTGTTTCCGCCGCTCTTATCCGGAAACAAGGTACATCCGAGGAGTAGAAAAACATAAGCACTCAGCTGTGCGTCGGGCGTCCTACGTGCACTCGGGTACAAACACCGCTGCAACACAGATGCGATCTTCACACCTCCGTGTTCCCAAACACCTAGCGCCTCGGTGTACAGTGCAGCCCTGTCCACCGCCAACAACTCTGCCAGCGAATTTGCCTGATCCGCATCAGCCACAACACAAAGTCGTTTACCCTCAACACGAATCCCCAGAATGGCCTCGACGTCATGTAACATGATCGTCATCTCACCGAACGGAAGGTGAAAAGAGTTTGTATCCGGCTGCCATCGCTCAATGAAAGCCGTGATCAGCGTACTGTCAATCTTATCGTGCATGGTGGCAGGAACGTGCTTCACCCCAGTGCCCTCCAGTCGCTCGAACATCTCGCTCTCCGCCGGCCAGGCCTCAGCCCATGTACGCAAAAAAACTACAAGTCTTTTCCCGGGTATGACATTTCAACAACCCCGTAACTGAAGGCCTCTCCTGGTCCTCCCAAATACGGGCAGCTATGTGTCCTAGAAAGCTAGGAATCACACTCCCGTCAACAGGCCCACCGGGCACCTCACTCCTAACAACCCAAGAATCATTACCCGCCCTCGATCGTTTCCTGCTTGCCCCAGAGACAGTGGACGCAGATGATGTGCCAGATCTACTAACAAATCTACCACCCCTACCCTTACGCACCTCCACCATATGCGTCTCGTACATGTCATCAACCCTCTGACTGAATGGACCGTAATCATCATACGGTCCACTGCCATCGTCCACATCCTCATCCTCATCTGCGCCCTCCTCCTGCTCCTCCTCCTGGTCACCCTCCTCAGCATCATCATCGTCATCGTCATCCTCATCCCGACGGTGGATCCGTTCTCTACGAACTGAGGCCGAAATACCACGGGATCTGACATGTCTATGCCCCGACCTCTCCACTGAATAACTTCTACTAAGAAGCTCTATATTCTTCCCCCCACCATGACGACCCTACACAAAATTTTAAAATATATAAACATACAAAAATTTATACGATAAATAATCATCATCGCAAATCAAATACACTAAAAACAAACAAATAATAGTAAACAAAATATAAACGTAGAAAAAATACAACGTAATTGAAAAAATATATAAAAATAAACAACAAAATATAAAAACAATTCAAAATTATATTACAAAAAAAAAAAAAAAAAAATTTAAAAACAATTTTTTAGAAAAATTTAAAAAAAAAAAAAAAAAAAAGGGGGGGGCGCCCTGGCTGGACGCCCAGCCGGCGGTGGTGGCGCTAGATGCAGACGCCGCCACCAGTTGGCTGGCGTCTGGGCTGGACGCCACCGCCACGGTGGTGGCGTTTAGTCTAAGCGCCGCAACCGTGGCGGTGGCGTCCAGCCCAGGCGCCAGCCAACTGGTGGCGGCGTCTGCATCTGGCGCCACCACCGCCGGCTGGGCGTCCAGCCAGGGCGCCCCACCGCTTTCACGGCGGTTTTCCCCCTTTTTTTTTTTTTTTAACAAAATATACCTTTCCACCTTGGGACATCCTTCCCTCCGCCGCCGCCGCCACTTCCTTGCCTTGCCGCCTCGACATTGCCGTCATTTTGAATTTTTTTTTTTTAAGAGAGGTTGAAAGAAGATGAGCAATGAGAGTGTGAGTGATGAGAGTGTGAGTGTTTTTTTTTTTAAGGTCAAGGGCAATTTAGGGAAACCAAGTGAATTTTGTGGGCTTTATGTAGTAATTTGTGGGCGATGTTTAACAAATCCCATAAAATTCAGATCAATGATAGCAAGGTCTTAGAACTTTATGGGGTTTTCACTTAAAAAGCCTTTAAATAATTATTATTATTTTACTCTTCTGCATTAATAAAAGGGTTTATTTGACCATATTTAACATTCAAACAAAAAAGTTTATCTTACAATTTTATCAACAATCCGGGCATCGCTAGTGACACTTGACATTACAGTTTTTTGTAGGCGAAAATAGATATTATTGTGACACATATGATACTAAGTAAGTGAATTTTATATAGTTTTTTTTTAAGATTAAAATATTGTATAGAGTTTTAATATTAATATAATTCTAATACTTCATATATATAAACTTAATCATAACTTTTAATAAATATCATTTCCATCATAAAATCTGTTTTAAAAAGTTCTTTAATATAAGATCAATTTATAATATATTTAATTTATTTAAAAAAATAATAGAGAATTAATAAAAAAATAATTTAAGTTCAATAAAAATAATTTCAAGTCGATATTTTAATAAAAATAATTCACAAACAAAACTACAAAAGGTACACTATCATTTAATTAAATATGCGACATCGTATGTCTAAATATCCACATCATCAAAAGGGATTGTAGGACCGTATTTAACATTCAATCAAAAAAGTTTATACTGAAATTTTATATCAACAATCTGGGCATCGCTCGGACACAAAACTAGTATATAAAAAAAAAGTAGTATATATATAAAGCCATGAACATTACATAATTTCCTACACTAAGCATGTGGACCTCAAACCAGAGCGGATATATGAAAACTCAGTCACAAATCACAATAGAAGCTGTGTTAACATTTTTTGTTTCATTTTATGTATGTACAAAATACGGAGTACTATTGATAAAATAAATAAATAAACAACTACAGAGTACTAGTAATACACACAGTGCCCAAGTAACAACAGTGTTTTCCTATTCAAAACGCTACATGTCACTACTACGAACAATTCAGTACTTCCAACAACTCATTCAAACGAAAGAGTAACAGATATACTTACATGTACAGATAGCCGAAGTTATCAGCAACTAGAACAAGCCCCCTCTCTGAGTTGATATCTAAGCCATAAAACGTCTGCCAATTGCTTGGACCCTGCATGTGTTCATGCATCCCATTAATCATGTATGCCTAACTATATTAGCTAACAAGTCTGCAAAAAAGAAAAAGAAAAACCGCTTGGGCATGTTGTCAATTCTCATTGACAACTGAATGCCATCATAGCCGAACACAAGCACATTTAATCAAAATAAAACAGCCATCAATTCAAAACCATTTGATGGCACAGATCAGATTACCATGTGCTCATAATCTGATCAACTGAGCCCTGGAGAAGAGTGTAGCAGGCACTTTTCTTTCCCAAGGCTTGCGCCTCTTCAAAGGGATGGTAGTGCTGGAGGCAGAGGTGGGAGTGTTGGCAGTTTGAAATTCCCCCACACCCATCACTTGATCAGCTGCAGATTTGGCTCCTACATGTGCATTCAAATCAGGCTGATTCACTGACTCTGATGCTGGAGATGAAACAAATTTTTCAGACGAAGAAGCAGCAATCGATTCACCAGTAGAAGCGACCACTGAACTTGAAATGACCTTTAACCTGGAAGAAGAACTAATACCAGTTGTAGATACAGCACCAGTACTATCAAAGTAAACAACAGAGTCTCCGGCGTTCTTAAAAGACTTTGGCTTACTTGCTAACGGTTCACGTTGGTGAACCTGTACCTTTCCTCTCGTAAGGCCAAATATGCTTGCAGATTTCTTAATGAAAGATTGTAGTGCATCTCATACAACATACTAAACAAACTGATAATATCTCATGCAACACATTCCTTTTTAATAAATTCAAAGTAGCAATGTATGCAAAGAATTCAGTTTGAAAATTTGAAGAACAGGATGAAGGAGATAGGGAGTATAATGAAATGATACCTCAAGAAACACGTTGGTTGTTGTTTGAACACATAAACAAATCAAGGGGAGACTGACAAGGATATGAGTTACCTGTTTTATCCTGCAAAACAGACTGAATGAATAAGCCTATACAATTAGACAAAATGTTTCCTATTTATAAAGGAGTCACTGATTCAAGCATCAATTATTCAAGGCTTCAATAGTATAGCTAGTACCTTGTGCTTTGTGCACTTTCACACCCTTATTCTCACTGTAAAGGCATACGTTACCCCATTACTCAACAAATCTACTTAGCAGACCCCTCCTCATCTAACTCGATCATGTCTTCTACTTTTATTTATTCATTCATGACCAAATAGAACAAAAATACTAAATTAGAGGATATATATTACATAGTAATAAAAAAAGGGACTTTACTCAAAATCTCAGACTCCAATACAAGAAACAAGTTGCAAAGAACTCTTTATTCTTGTTTAAACAGTAGAAGACACCCAACTCTCATTCAACACCTTATGACTCAAACACATCAGACCACAAGCCAAGAGAACTAGCAATTAGAGAACTGAGATCTAGCAATAAAAATACATGTAGTAGCAAAATTCAGTAAAAGAGATGTGTTGATAAAATCGATTGAAATTCACAATCAGAATTAAAACAGAGAAATATGAGGCAAACAAATAATTCCAACTTATAGGAGTTATATTTCTGGGGACAGGGTATGTGAATCACTGCACCTACAAATAATTCCATACAGTACAACAAATAAAAATATTTCATTTCTAGCAAATCAGGTTAAGCAATTTATACCTATTGTTAAAGAGCCAAACACATTACACAATAAAGAGAGGAACTCACTGTACGTACCAAAATTATCACCAAAGTTGGTCATTATGTCAGCACGAACCGATTGGTTGCTCTCAGCAATACCAATAACCTCAACATATTTGGTAAGTGGTTGAGTTGGTGGCGAACCCTTTGTGACGAGCTGATGATCATCAGTTGATTTCTTAATCAAAGAACTGCCATCAGATTGTATCACCTGTATAGCTACCCGAACCTTCCGCCCAACATACAGGCGGAGTGATTACAATGCTGCAGGATTTGAAGTATCCATATTCTGCAACCACATAATATGATACCTTAGACTCAGAACCTAACCACCTTAAAAAGATGATAGAAATACCAATAACACTACTACATTAAGAGTCCCTCAAACTAATTTCTCTACTACTATAAACCAATTTGCTTTTCTAATAAAATCTGCAAAATCATTATGCTCAGGCTGTTCTGTTCACCTTATTTTCACTTATTTCAGGAAAAGTAAGTTCAGATAAGGTAAGTACAGGAAAAATAAGTTCAGATAAGTTGTGATAAGGGTTAATCAGGGCTACCTAAGTTCATTTTATAACTAAAATAAGTTCTAATAAGGGCTAATAAGTTCAGATAAGTTCAAATCAGATCATATAAGTTCAGATAAGTAAAAATTAGGTTAATAGAACACACCATCAGATTTGCAAAAGGAGAGTTTTGCACTTATAATGTCCCTAGGCCCTTGCGTAATTTGAATGAATGAATAAAACATTTCAATAGCATAATTTGAACCCGACAATGTGATGACTAAATCCGAACAAAAGGTACAAATAAACAAAACCGAGAAATTGATACCGAAGCAACTTAAAGCCACATAAAATCGTCACATTAATAATTTAATTTTTCCGAACCTTTAAAATAATCATTAGCCTGTCCGATGTAAACTAATTATCGATTATATCACAGAAATCTCACTACTATATAGGCAAATTTTCAAATTTCACATTGCATCAATCAACACCATAAATAAACCCTAAAAACAGCAATTAAAGAACAACATCACAAATTAATCAATTAAACACAACTTCGGCATAAATACGAACAAACATACCAGATATTCTTCAAATCAAACGAAAACCAATAATTAAAAAATCAAAAACAAGAATTGATGAGTGGTATAGAAATTAGGGTTTAAGAAAACCAGTTGTACGGCAACGGCAACGGCGACGCAGAATTAATGGGTATCCTACTGCATTCCATCAAACCAAAACAAGCAAAATCTAAAATTTATCAATTAAGAATTACAAAAATCAAAATAAATTAGTGGGGCTTAATTTTAATGAGATGTAGTGTACTAACAGTTAGGGCGATGGAAATCACACAGAAGAAGAACAAAATCCAAAGCTAATTGGAAGAACTAGATCTTGTAGATCAAAGCTTAATGCTCCAATATTTGCCTTTTTGACACAGTAAACGGCTGAAACCCAATCCCCTCGATCTATTCGTGAATTTATCAGTTGTTGGACGAGGAGAAGTTAACGGAGAAGTTGTTGGTATCCCCTTGACACGAGGAGAACTTCCGGCGACGAATGGCTGAACGGCGGCAAGGTGTTGAACTTGCTTGGGCGAGGAAGTGTTTTGAACTGCTTGCTTTAGTTTTGCAAGGGATAGTGTTCTGAACTTCTGGACTTTTATTAATTGGATTGTATTATTCTTTGGTTGTTCGACATATTTGCAGTGCTCCAAAACAAAACGTTGCAAATACCTTTTTTTTGCAGCGCTCTGAACTTGGGAACGTTGCAATAAAGCGATTTATTTGCAACGTACTACTGCTGGAACGTTGCAAATAGTTCTCGATAAAATTTAATAGCTTTTTTGCAGCGTTTTTTAGCAAAGAACGCTGCAATTAACTCATTAAATTTTTGACTTGCGGTGACTAACCATTAGTTGTAGCGTTCTGTATATGGATGTGCTGCAAATAGTGCGCTGCAAATGACGCTTTTTCCACTAGTGACAGTTGCATTACTTTGCCCAGATTTACGCATAACAACTCCTATACAATCCATCAACTTGACATTTTTGTCCAACTGAACTCCTTGGAAGGATCTAGTTAATCCAGGAGTCGCACCAACTTTAGCGACATGGCTTCTCTTCAAACTATTGATGAAACTACTCTTGCCAACATTGGGAAGCCCCACAATCCCAACAGTCATTGACTTTTTAATCTGGAAAGGCCCCAAAACAGCAGAGAACCAACAATGATTATGATAAGATCGCTTGCTAAGGATCACACAGTACTAAAATACTCGCATTTAACATCAACTGATTTACATTGATGGCCGGCAATCTAAAAAAGTTTCACGGACTTCTAAACTCGTACCTCATGACTCCTTGAGTAATTTTTAAGCAATTTAATTAGAGTGTTTGCTCCAAGACAGTCACTAGTCTGCAAAATGTTGCTAGGTTTTGCAGCCTTTGAGGATTTTGAGGACTTCCACCTCAAGTTTGATCTTTGCTCTTGGGTGCTGCACTTAAAACCATTGCTGGTAGTTCTTCTCTAAGATATTTTATCCCTTTTTCAACTGCTTCACAAGGTACAAGATCTGATATATAGGCAACAGTTTAGAATACAATAGACAAACCATAGCTTCTTTAATATGAAACAGCTTAAACTTAAGGGAGCACATGGGCGGAAAACTACCATCTAAATCTTCAGGTACATAATACATTGAGATAAAACGACACCAGAAGGGTGTGATCCATTAGCAAAACAAGAGTTATTGTGCTAGAGACTAAAACAACCCCTAAACCTCAGAGACTCATACAAGATTGAATAAATCCAATATGTAATTCATAATATTGGGGAGAAGGTTTAATTCAAATTTATGATATACCAAGAACCACCACAAACCCCCTAAACAATAACCATCCATCTCAAAAAATAATTTGAACATGCGTTAAGTTTTCAGAGCATCTGCCTAGCATAAAGCCAGCACACTTGGACTCCATAATGGACAACTAGTCTTTACAGCAAAACAAGCTTCTTATTAGGACCTGAGTTCAGAACCAATTTCTCCATATCTACACATCTAGTACCAAGGGGATCACAAGTATCAAGGACTTCCAAATAACATCAGATGCCTCAATAACCTTGACTAGCTCCTTGTAAAACTCCCTGTCAGAATTACCTGCATAAAAAACTCAAAACAATTTATCTGCAACTACTACACATGTTTAAAGTTGTAATACAAACCTCACATACCTCAGTTTTTAATGAATTCTTTGGCAGGAACCACTCCTTTTTCCTCCTCAACAGGTTGCTCCTCAATGTTAGCAGTCTTGTCCTCGAGTATATATGGAAGCACAGAACATATCAGCTTACATGTACATGATAGTATGATACCTCCCAATTTTCACTTTTAAAAGCAACCATGCTTACATTGTAAACATTGTCTATGAAGATCAATCAACCAACAATGTACAATTGTACTCTATACAACACTATCCAGGAGAAGGGGTGAGTCAAAAGTTCTGCTAGCATACTGATGGAAATTAGACCTGCCTAAATCAAGCTACATTTTGGTCAACCAACCAACATCATAACGAAACGTACCAAGAAGCCTAGCCAACAACATGCTAAATGGTTGTGCAATGTCCTTCTCCCCTTTTCTCCCTCCAATCCTCCAAAGACACAAATGGAACTGGTGGAAGGGGATGTTAGCAGGGCAAATAGCTCCCCAAAGAGCTTTACGTCCAGTCAAGTTGCTATGTGCATGATAAAAAATACTCTGTGAGTGTTTATCCCGCGTTCAATCATTGGCAATAGCATCTCAGGAATATTTTGTAAACCAACTTTTTCTTTACTTTCTTCAATGGTGTATCTTTTATATCCCCCTTCACCTTAGATATTAAATTCTGCTAGTTTCTTGCTCCACATTCAACCATAGCATCTCAACAAGATCAACTCTATCAGGAGACCCCAAAAATATGCATTCCAAAGTAGCTAAGCTAATCAACTAGTTTACACCATATATACTAGACGATTGTACTCCAAACCCTTCCTCCATGACAAGCCAACAAAGCATGCATCTTAATTCAAATTTTAATTAAATGAGAAATTTCACGTTTGAAATGCCCACCACACAAAGGCACCTAAACTAGTCACATAAACTTATCAAACACTCAACACCCACTCAATTATGACAGCCAAAACTTCACCCAAATCATCAACAAAACCCAAATAAATTGATTCTGTCACCACTTCAAATCAATGCATAATTATGTTAAATGAGGTTTGGCCATGTAATATACAGTTTTGCACGATTTTGTTTCTTAAATGTAATGTCCAATTGTCATCACCAGGTCCAATTGTCAAGTAACTTAACATAACACATAATTACATTACGTGACATTAAACAACATTACAATACACCATAATTATTTTGTTGATAAAATACAATACACCATAATTACCACTAATTACAATGAAAACCTTGAAATTAGTCAATCACTATCACAAAAACAAATTAAAATCACATAGCCTTTCTTTACGGGCAGCTTTCTTCTGCTCCAACTCTTTAATGGCCTTAGCACGGCGAACCTCGAGAACTTTAAGCTCTTGCTCCTTAAAAGACCATTCATCAGGAATACTAGGATCCCTTTCAATCTTATTCTTCTTATTAATTCCAAGTTTTTTTTGCTTCCTTAGCTTTCTTCTTGTGATCCTCTTTCATTTTCTTTATAATCTTACACGTACTTCTTCTTCAATGAAACCCCATTACTCTAACACTCTACAATAAAAATCAAATCAAAGTCAGAATTTTTATCAACAAACCAGAAAAGTTCAGAACTTTTATTAACAACCCTGAAAAATTAAGGGGTTTATGGTTAGTGGGTAAAGCTTACTTTTGCTTTTCTTCAGCAATTTGGATTAGGTAAAAAATGAAGTGAGAAAAAACAGAGAGGAAAATAGTTATTTGGAGTATGGCGGTCGTTCTGAGTGAGAAATACAGAGAGAGAAGGGTTAGGGGTTAGGGACTTAGGTTTATGGATTCACAAACGAGAGAGCTGCTTTAGTTTATCTTGTGCTTTATGCTTCGGTGCTTATATATAAAAAAAAACTCTTGTGTGAACCTGGTCCACAATAAATTTATTGTGGACCTTATGATCTCACGTGCCATTGTCAGAACAAAATAGCCCAGTGCACCTACCCAGCCCAATTCTAACAAAAGTCCTTATAAAAGTATAAAACCCCAGTCATCTATCATTTAAATTAAAACAAAAGCCTCAATTATATTCTCTCTCCTCTGCGTTGAACATCATCGACCCGAAATTACAAAGCAAATTCATCAATTGAAGAACGAAATTCTACTGCAATTGATCTCAACAAATCAATTTATGAATTGGAATCAAACACAAATAACAATGAAGGTATCAATTACTCTTTATTTTTGATTTAATTCTGCCAAAAATTCGATTAACTATCATGAATAAAAATTGATTATGTTCTTAATTTGATTTAATTCTGCCCAAATTATCAGATTTTTGTCTACTTAGAGCTTTTAATTTTTCTTAAACAAGAATCAATTGGAATTTTCTTGATCAATATTGGGTTCGTTAGCGTATAATTTGAGGTCTTAATGATTGATGATGGTGTTAGTTCTGGTAATTTTATGTAGTTTCAAGGATGGAGAATTACATAATTTACATTGTGAGTAGAATTTTGATTTGTGTTAAGTTATTTTTCTGATTTATTAATTATGCAGTGTTAGTAGTGAAGTTTGATGTGGAAAAGATAATAAACTGAATTGGGGTTTTTATGGTTTTCGGCTAGTTGAAGGCCTGTGAAATGGAAGTATAGACTTTGGGAGGAGGCTAACAACATGCTTAAATAAAGGTCACTATGTCTATTATGACATTAGTGTAGTAGAAAGGTTGCTATATTATTTAAGGGTCACTGTATATAGCTAGGTAATTGAGTTTCTGCTCTATATAGCTGCCTTCAATGCCAACTAACTCTCATATGCTTAGGCTTATTGCTTGGTACTATCCCTCTTTTGCTTTTGATAAAACTAATTTGTTCTCAAAGACATTAATGCCTTTATAATAGAGTATTGTAGGATTTGGAGAATCATATATAATTGAAAACTCTATAAGCCTATTAGCTCAATTGGTCGAGCACTGTGTATATTTTTATTGGCACAGAGTATGTAGGTTCAAGTCCTACATAGGCTAATAAGATTTAGACATTTAGTGACCCTTTTTAACAAATAGGTTACTTTTTCACAGATGTTATGACCCTTATATGAATATAGTGACTTTTTTTTTTTACATGTAGTAACCCCTATTTGAATATAGTTGACTTTTTTTTTTTACATGTAGTAACTCCTATTTGAATATAGTGACTTTTTTTTAAATGTAGTAACCCCTATTTGAATATAGCGACCTTTATTTACATGTAGTAACCCCTATTTTAGTATAGTGACCTTTTTTTTTACATGTAGTAACCCCTACTTGAATATAGTGACCTTTTTTTTTATATGTAGCCTTATTTAAATACAGTGATCTTTTTTTAACATGTAGTAACCCCTATTTGAATATAGTGACCTTTATCATACTACAATATAGGATAACAATGCAAGCTAAGTAGTTATTTATGCACTTTGATGCTAACAAGCTACTACATACAATGACCAAAACACAACTCATCAATGATAGCAACACACAAGCATTGTTGTAGCTTAGGCTATGTGGGACTTGAACCCACACCATGTACATT